TTTTTTTTTTCCCCTTTTTTCCTCCTCACAGAGTCCTGGCTGTTTCCCAGTGGAGCTGGAAAGGGGCCCTCGAGGGTTTGGGTTCAGCCTCCGAGGAGGGAAGGAATATAACATGGGCTTGTTCATCCTGCGCCTGGCTGAGGACGGGCCAGCGGTCAAGGATGGGAGAGTGCACGTGAGTTTGGCTTCTCTGATCAATTTATTGATCAAGTTGACACATTAATTTACCTGAAGTGGCAGGAAACTTGTTTTTTCCGTGAGCACAGGGTCCCAGAACAGCAGCTGGGCCTCTGCCCTTCTTCCAGCTGTCCCTGTGTGGTGACAGCTGTGGGGTTGGAGAGGAGAGATCCATGGACAGCTCCATGAGCATCCAAAAGGAACTGTCCAGCCTTGCTTGAGTTCCAGTAGCATCCCTGACCCAGCTCCTCAGGGTACTTTAGGACTCCAGCAAGAGATTTCACAAAGGAACAGAGAGCTGAAAGGAGAATCTGTGTCCAAGTCAGTGAATTTTTAAGGAATATGTGTGTGAACATTGTGCTGTTGCCATTCTGAGCCATTTCTGGGGATCCAAACCTAATTTTTTTTCAAAATGTTATGTTAATTCTTATCTTTGTGTGAGGAATTCACTCTCAGATATTGTAGTAAAACCAAATACATGGGTACAATAGCAAAGAATGGTGGTAGGTGAGGCTCTGTGGCTACTTCCCAGAGCTGGATTTTCAGAGGCTGGAGTGTGGAGCTGAGCCAGGTGCCCATGAGATGCCATCCCACTGCAGTCCTGGTGCTTCCTGCACTTGTGGCCACTGGCACATGGTTCTGCCTCTGTTTGTATTTGCAGAATGGGGCTGATACAGATACTTGCTGTGAGGCTTAATTGGATGTGGAACTCTAAGTATTGTTAACTTCTCTTATCCAATTCCTCACATCAATGAGGTTTTTTCCCCTCATGCTTCAGAGACTACACAAGTGTGGTGTTCAGTGCTAATATTTTCTCTTGTTTTCCTTCTTTAAGTGGTGTCACACTGAGCTCCAGGGCTTTGCTTTTTGAGCAACCAGGAGGTTGTTCAGCCCAGAGAAGAAAAGACTGAGGTCAGACCTCATCAGGGTCTGCAGCTTCCTTGTGAGGGGCAGGCACTGGTCTCTGCTGTCTGTGAGCAGAGAGAGGACCCAGGGAACGGCTGGAGCTGTGCCAGGACAGGGTTGGGTTGGATCTCAGGGAAAGGTTCTCCCCCCAGAGGGTGGTTGGGCACTGAACAGGCTCCCCAGGGCAGTGGGCACAGCCCCAAGGCTGCCAGAGCTCCAGGAGCATTTGGACAACGCTCTCAGGGACAGGGTGGGATTTTGGGATGTCCTGTGCAGGGCCAGGAGTTGGACTTGATGATCCCTGTGGGTCCCTCCCAGCTCAGGATATTCCCTGGCTCTCTGAGGTCCCAGCTGACTGTTCCCTGTGTCACTCAGACAACCTGTGCCCTGGCTCTGTGGGGACTGAGGCAGCAAAATCCTGCTGAGAGCTCCAGCTCCAGCTCCCCCAGTGATTTCCACGTGGGGTGTGGGTACAGCAGCCTTTTGTAAAGGCCCTTCCCACCCCCTGGCCCCTCACCCTTCCCTGTGCAGAGATGGAGTGTCCCAGCTCAGTGTCCCAGCTCAGTGTCCCAGCTCAGTGTCCCAGCTGGGCTCAGAGCACAGAGGGGCTGAGCTCTCCCAGCCCCAGGGGATTCACACTTCCCGTGTCATTCACTTTGTCTCCCTCCTCATCTGGACACGGTGTTATTTTCTGGCTGTGCTTTTAACGCACTGAAGAGGAATTTCTCACCCAGCTGAGCTGTCAGCGTGTCCCTGTCCCACCCTGAGCCAGCACTGACCTCCTTTGGCAGAGTTTATTTAAGGAAGCCCAGACAGTCTCTTGGAGCTGCTCTTGTTACACAGCAGTGACATCCCTTGGCTGTTCTGGGCAGTGCCAGATAGGCCTCCCTTTTTTCCTATTTTCCCAAACACACATCCCTTTTTCATGCTCATTCCAACCCCTTTCCAGCAGCCTGTGGGGTTGCTGTGAGCTGGAATTACCTGCCCAGCACCTCTGTGAGTTGTTAATTGGCCTCAGAGACCTCAGCACTGATCTCTCCTGCCTGGAATAAGAATTCCTTCCACCTGCTGTGCCCTGAGCTGTGCACTGGGTGAAGGTGCCCCTCACCTCACCTGGGGGGTGTGACCTCACTCAGGTGTGACTCAGGTGTGGTTCATCCCTGTGCTCCCTCCACACCACCATCCAGAAGGAAAATAAATACATTCAAGCACCTGCTGGATCTGCCCCATCACTTATAAATGAATAGCAGATAGAAAATAAACACCATCACTTGTAAATAAAAATCCCTTGTGAACAAGTGGTGGAAATGTGTCAGTAAATGAGAACTTTGAGACTTTCTTTCCCTGAGCTGGCTGAGGACACGACCTGTGTGACCTGTGAGCCCCCAGAGCCCCAGGTCACACCCTGCTCATCCCCCCTGGAGGGGTGTCACTGCTGCTGAGTGGATTGCAGCACAAGAGGGAAAACAGAAGCATCTGCCTCTATTATTTAATTTTTTCTTTCTAAACTGAAAACCACTTTAACAGTGTCAGAGATTCCCAGGGACTCACCTGCTTGCTCTTTTCTCCTCAGGTTGGTGACCAAATAGTGGAAATTAATGGAGAACCCACCCAAGGAATCACTCACACACGAGCCATTGAGCTGATTCAGGCTGGAGGGAATAAAGTTTTGCTGCTGCTGAGACCAGGGACTGGATTGATTCCAGATCACAGTATGTTGTCTCAAGGGCTGTTTGGTTTTGTCCAAGGCGGGGGAGGAAAGTGGGATAAGCAGATTCTGGTGCTTGTTCACTGCAGTAGTTGGCAGTTCCCTTTGTGACAGCTGTGCAAGTGTTTATTTATTATTGAATTAAATTAAAAATTAAAATACAAAAATAGAAAATAGAAATATTTGTTTTAAAAGATGAGGAATATTTTTGGTACAATTAACACATGACAAGTATTTAGGAATATTAAAACCCTGTGAAATTATTCCATATTTTAATAAGTTTCTCAGCTCTGTCCAAGCTAATCAAGCTTCCCTATAAAAATTATTAACCCTGATTGCCTTTTAATTTAAATTAAAATTCTCTATGCTACATTACTCAGTTAAAAATGCCTGTATTGTTGAAATATGATTTCTGTACAGATTCATTTCAGTTTTTAGCCTTCTAAGTTATGGAATGCTTTGTTTTTCAAAGCCAAAACTTCAGGAAGCAGGAGAGGGACAACTTTGTTCTCCAGAGGGATTTGGTTTGATTGAAGGTGATTTTTGTCTCTGCAACAGGAAAGGACAATTTCATAGGCCAGATAAAAGGAAGGACAGCAAAGCAAATGCTTGCAGGAGCCACAGAGCTCAGAACTGATGATTTGGGGTCTGCCAGGGCCCCAAAACTGCAAATCAAAGACTTGTGGCAGTGGCAGCATTTTAAAGCAAAGAGCACCTGATTCCCAAATGTGCATTTTAGTCTTTTATCCCCTTATGTTGCCACCAGGGTGCTCATGATGAACTTCCTAAATTGGAGGGTCACTTTTTTCTGATAAAGAACTTTTCAGTCCCAGTCCCAACCCTGAGTTTATCCTTCCAAAGTCCCAAACTTGCAGTTTGAACTCCCAAATACTTTGTGTGTTCATTTACAGGCAGCAACTGATGTTCACTCAAGGGGTAAAATCTGCTCAGAGCTGTCTCCATTTCTTTCCTCCTGAGAGCTTGAAAAGGGCCCTGAACATCCCAGTGCTCTGACCTGCCCAGCACAGTGAAATCAGGGAATTAGTGCAGGGCATGGAAACAGCCCATCTGTGCTGGGCTGGGCTCAGCCTGCACAAACCCTGCACAAACCCTGCCTGGGCCTGGCTCTCACCCTGAATCACCTCCTCAGGGAGGGGGAAAGCTGAATATCGTTAAATATGGTTAAATACAGTCTGCCTTGGGCTCTGATGAGCTTCTGGTTGGGTGGTTGGGCACTGAACAGGCTCCCCAGGAGGGAACTGTCACAGCCCCAGATCTGCCAGAGCTCCAGGAGTGTTTGGACAATGCCCTCAGGGACAGGGTGGGGTGTTGGGGTGTCCTGGGCAGGGCCAGGAGTTGGACTGGGTGATCCCTGTGTGTCCCTTCCAGCTCAGGATGTTCTGTGATGCCATGGGGAGGTTCTCTTTAAAATGACATTTCCATTAAAATGAGGAGGTGGAGGCACCTCCTGCTCTCTCCTCCCCAACATCTGACTCCAGCAGTGACCAGTGGAGTTTATCCATGAGGGATGTGCAGGGATTATCTGGGGTCACTCCTGGCCCTTTTGTTCACAGGAATCCCCTGAGCTTGAGGGAGAAACACAGAATCCCCAAAAGTCTGAGGGAACCTCTGGAGCACATCCCACCCATCCCTCTGCCCAGAGTGGGGTCTGGGATGGGAAGGAGGTGCTGGAGTGGGGAAGGGTTTGTTGCCTCTTGCCTTGCTGTTAATCCCACATTTCTGGTTGAAATCTTGCTTGCTGTACTCTGTGATTTTTTTTTTGGTATGTACTTCTGGGCTTTTTCTCTTCCTCCTTCAGGTTTGGCTCCTTCCAGTCTGTGTCCCTACGTGAAACCTGAGCAACATTAAGGGCTTTCAGTGCTTTTCTTGGTTTTTCCTTAAAGACTTGGTAAATCTGCATGTCTTGTGTTCCATCTCTTCCTATTATTTAAGTGCAAAGCTATGGATAACCTCGACTTTTCACTGTTTCAGGTTTCTTTTAGCATAACAGTTCCAGTTCATTTAGTTTTCTCATATTAAACAATGTAGGTCAGGGACTTTCTGTTTTGCAGTTTTGCTGTGTAGGCTCCAAAATTGTTTTGATCCAAGCCTGTGTCAGTCCTGCAGGGATCAGGCAGCATTCTGAGCCCTAGTTGTGTTTTTTTTTTTCCAAAATCACATCCTCAGGGTTGTTGTAGCTTGTAGAAAAAGACAATACGTAAATCTGGCTAAATAAGGCTTTGAGAATATGCCACTCCATAATGTTTCTTAAATTGAACTCGGTAATTTGCTACTGAGGTGCTAAAATTGTGAAATATTTAGTGATTATTATTTTTTGTGTGTAGTTGTTCAGTCAGATCTCTCTCTGTTCACTTCCAGGTGATTGGGATAGTTACAATCCATCTTCGTCAAATGTAATATATGAAGAACAGTCACCATTATCTTCATCTTCCCATTCTGCTTCCCCATCTGAAGTGTGTTATTTACCAGTACCAGGAGAAGCTTTAACCAGAGTTCAGCTGTCTGAGAAACTGGAACAAGCAGAGAACACTGTGCCTGACAAGATAAGCACTTTAACTGAAAACCAGAGTGAGAGGAAGCCTCAGTCTTCTCCCCAGAGAACAAAGAACAGATGGGAATGTCCCTCCAGCCCTGGGTTTGGAATCACTAAAGGTAGTTTGGAAGCAGGGACCAGAAGAGACAGATCTGCCAGTCCAGCAAAGTCGGGGGCTGCTGAGGGACACCCTCCCAGGGGATTCCACAGCCCCAGGAAAGGGGATCCTGAAAAGAACAATCTCTCACATCAACCTGGCAGATCCAGAGGGAGTGAGAGTAAAACCACAGAAACAGGAACGAACAATAGTGACAAAAAAGAGTATTCCAGTGGAAATCAAGGAAGGTCAGCCAGTCCCCACAGGCACCTCGGGAAGCCGGGAAGTGCAGAAATGGTGGGAAGGAGCCAGGGCAGAACTGGTGGTGTGACTGGTAAACCAGGAGTCAGCAGGAAAGACACGAAGCAGAAAACTGCAGGAAGGATGGAAGGGTGGTCTGCAGAGAGACACTACCCAGCGTTTGAGGGGAACAACCTTCCCTTGAGGGACTGCAGGAGAAACGCCTCCGAGGACGATTTATTGACCAAGTCCAGCTCTGGAGAGTCGAGTTCCAGCAGGTTCAAAACCTCCAGCCTGTCCAACATCCCACTGCTTTCCACGGAGAAACAAAGGAGGGGGGAACCACAGGAGACTGTCACGCTCAACAGGCACCAGGGAGGGAGACACGTGGAGCTGCCCCATGAAACCAAAGATGGAACTTCCCACCCCGAGGGTTCTCCAGTGAGGAAAGCGCCGATAACTCCCGGGCCGTGGAGGGTCCCCACTAAGGGCACCCCAGCAGCAGGAGTGGCTGGAAAACGGGTGTGACTGACTGACACTGTTTTTTTTTAGAACATGTTTTAACCAGTTTTCCAATAAGGGTCATTTAAAGCATTGGTTCTTTTCACACAGTTGTCTTTTTTTTTTCTTTTTTTTTTTTTTTTTTTGGTCTCAGAAACTGGTTGGAAGGGGGGGGGGAAAGGGTTTGATTTGTTCTTAAATTATCTAAGCTGCATGAAGGACCTTTTGGATGCTTCAGTGAAACTCTGCCATGAGCTGCTGTCCCCGTGTCCCCGTGCAGGCCCTTGTCTGCTGCTCCCAACGTTGCACTGCTGCGGCTTCTCCGAGTGTTGTGAGGTCTGAACAAAGTTATTTAATGCCTCTGTTGCCAATGTGATCCTGACTCACTTCCTGCTCTTGTGCCAAGTTTATCTACTGTATCCAGTCAATCTAACCCTCCCCCCGTGGATTCCAGTCACAGACAAGGCAGGTTTGGGCTGAGGTGGGTGTTTTCTCTGAGCGTGGTGCCTGTTTGCGTCAGGAAACCCACGTGTTCTTGCTGGGTCGGGAAGGACATGGGCGAGTTGGTTCTGTCAGTTCCAGGGCAGCAAACAAGCCACTGATGCTGCCCAGTTGATGTGTTTCCTGGGGTTTTTATACCCCATACCAAACCCTGTCGATAAAAATGGTATTTGATATAATTTTGCGTTTTCTGAACGCAGCAAAATTGCTTCATTGCCTCGATTCGTAGGGATTTGCTTTGCAAACATCTTGTGTGAGGAGAGGAAATTCTGGGTTCTGTTAAATAACATAATTCCTTTGGTTTCACTTGTGGCACCACGAAATCCTCAGCCTTGGTGTGGAGCTGATGCTGAAGCCCCATCTTTAATTAATTAATGCTAGTTAGGAATTGGATTTTTTTCCCTCTGTAGAGGTAACAACTGACCTTAGACAGACCCAGCTGCCAGAGCAGCCTCGTCAGTGAAGTTTTTGCCTGTGTATGTTAGAACTCTCCCATATTTACATGGAATGTGTGATCAGGGAGTGCTGATGACACAGAGGGTACAGGGGGCTCGCTCTCCGTGGTTTGGGCTGGCAGAGACGTTTTAAAGAGGGATGTGACCACCAGGACCTCCTGACACCTCAGTCCCAAAGCTGTGAGAACAGCAGAAGCTGAAGGGGGTTATTTTATTCATAGTTTTAGTGATTTCCTGACATGTTTAGGGGTTTAATGGTAAAAGGAGCCTGTTGGTCCAGTTTGCAGAAGGAGGAGTAAAGGATGGAGCTTTACTTACTCAAAACTCAAACTAATAGGATTTGCTCTCTGAAATGGAACGAGCAAATACCTCCTTTTGGCTTTGAAACATGGGATGTTTTTTTTAAAGGCTGATGAAGCACAGTGAGGCAGTTCTGAGTGGAATTCTTCCCAAGCACAGCTGACTACTCAGCCAGCTTTTCCACAAAGACTTTGGGAATTCAAAAGGCTTTAGAGCAGCTCTGAACTGTGCTCTGCTGCTCAACCCCGGGCGCTCCATCGAGGTTTGCTGTGTAGCATAACACGTACAAATACTCCCTGGGTGGAGTATGACTGTGAAATATTTAATACTCTGAAGTAGCCTGTGTAGATATTTCCCCTGTGCCCTTCCCCAGAGGGTGGTTTGTGTTGAGCTGTGTGCACTCGCCCTGACCACTGAGTACAGTGACAGATCCAGACCTTTAATTCCAGATGAATTAAGTAGCACCACTGAAATGATTCCCCTGCCATCAACTCCCCTCGATTTTTTCTATATGTTAATGTGATAATGTCTTACCTGTGTGTGATTTCTCCTTCCATAGACCTTGTATCTGTACTTCCTGTATCAGACTTAGCCATGTGGCCTTGGAATGCTAAGCAATGTATGGATGTACTGGGTGTAAATGTTTATATATTGTACAGCACCTTTATACAGACTTCTGAGGTTCTGACTAGAGAGAGACCTGTAAATCGCTCATTATTTTTTATATAGATATTAAAAACAAACTCCAGTTCGTGGCCTGTTGGTTCTGCACTGTATAAACCAGGTTCTTGGTTGGCTTTCAGGGGTGTGACCCCAGGTTTTACCCACAAACATGCTTCTCTTCTGGAAAACAAATGCAATTTATTATTGGAATTTTCCTTGACACCCTCCCCCCCTCCATTCAAACAGCAAATGCTTGACAAAGGTGGTATAAAAATCATCTATTTTTATAGATGTAGAAAACAGTGGGTAATGATGAAATACTTGTCCTGTAGGTTTATTTGTACATTTTGCTATATAAAATTGTCATCTCCTTTTACATCTCACAACTTTTCCTTGTACAGAAAATAGCTGTAAACAATTTACTACCAAAAATGCTTCTGCCATCTTACCCTCCTGTGAAAGAATGAAGCTCTGAAAAGTTCCTCAGTTTTTGCTCTTTTCATTACTAATAAATAGAAGCTGATAGAGCCAGTGAAGGGAAATATAACAGAAGCTTTAAAATGTTTTCTTTCTCTCCTCTGCCCTTTCTAAACACTAACCTGAGGAGGTCTTTGCCAGAGCTGTTCTCAGGCAGGACAGGATGGAGTGGAGTGTTCCAGGGAACAGACCTGGCAAAATGTTCTACGGCTCATAAACACTTTCCCTGTAGTATTTGTGGAGAGGTTTTTCTCCTGTAATTAATGTTTTCAGAAAAATACTCATCATTTCTTCGCAGCAGCCCCAGCCTAAGCCAACAGCAGGACTCTGGTATTGCTGGAGTGGCAGCAGGGAGGGGTGGAATTCACATCCTGAGCTGGAATTCACATCCTGCAGTGGTCCAGGACAGAGGCAAAGCCTCAAGCACGTGGAGCTTTTAAGGATTGAGACTCTCCTCAGCACAGCCAGACAAGTGCAGCTAAGGATGATCGAGCTGCAATATTCCAGTGTAGCTCCAGGAAGGCTGACTGGGATGGGAGGGCTGACTCCCTCCTTGTCACATTCCAGGATTCAGGGTTTGCAGGAACGTGGCACCAGTCACAGCCATTGGTGTCCCTCCAGCTGCAGCTCTTGTATGGCTTCAGGGTTTGATGTCCCACACCAGTTCCTGCTGGTTTCAGTGCCAGCTGCCAGGATTTGGCCCCATTAATGCAGTTTTTCTGTGTGCATGCCATGGGATGACATCACTGGTGAGACCAGTTGGTTCTGGGTGGTGTAGAACAGTAAAGCAGAAAGAAAACTTCTGATAACACTGAGAATCTGTTTGAAAGCTGTAATTACAGATTTCCATCAGTTTTCTGCTTTCTGCCCACACCTGAGGTTCTCTTCTCTCTGGTGGAGATGCCCAGGGCTGATGTTCTGTCAGTTCATGGTTTAATTTTCCATAACTGCAAAGAGACAGAGAGTGAGTTTGGGTCTGACAGCCTTAGGTCTGCATGTCCTACATGTCCTACATCCACAGGTGAGACTCTGTCTCCCTTCCCCATCCTGCTCTGCTCAGTGAGCTCCAGCAGGATGAGCCACAGGAGGACTGGGATAAAGGGAAAGAACCCTGCATTCTAACAGCTTGACCTGAATACAAATGAAACTGGAGTCAGCCCTGTCCTTCCCCCCAGAACTGGCTCAGGGAGGTGGGGACTCACCCAGCAGAGTCTGGTCTCTGAATTACCAGTGCAAACCTTTCTGCTCGGGCAGGAGGAGTCTGGGGGGCCCCCAGAGCTGTTGCTGTTGGTTTGTACAGGACTCTGTTTGTACTCACTCTGATATTGAACCCTAGAAGGTCACTGATAACTCCTGAGACAGCAGAGAGGATGACAACCCGTGTGATGTTGTAGATCAGGGGGTTCATGGTCAGTCCATACAGCCTGAAGGGACTATCCAGTTCCTGCAGTGGAAGGACAAGGAAAAGAGTCCATTAACATTCACCAAGAGCAAAGCAATTCATCCTCTGACTTTCAGCTTAACACTGGCACTCCAACAGACTGTGCTGCCTCTGTCCTTTCTCAAATGCATGCACAGGAATTCCCACTCTGTTTCAGAGATGTTTCCTGCTGAATCCACAGTCTGTTCACAGCACTAATTAACCACAGTGGTCTTGTATTGCTCCATCTCATGTCACAGCTGTAGGAGCACAGAAAAACCCCCTCTGTGAGTGAGAGCCAGCTCTTACCTAATCAAGAGCCACATGGTATTGCCTTTAGGCACCACTTCTATAAAACTGAGCTGTTCAGAGTATCTTACCTTCAGCAGCTTTGTGGACAGTTTCAGAACATTGTTTACCAGAGACAGCTGCTCCTTCTTGTTTGGCTTCTTCTCCATCTTCAGGTACAAGTTTATCTGTGACAGACACCACAGACCAGGTGTTGATATCCCAGCACCAGCCCCCCAGTGATTCATTACTAAGGGAAACCAGAGCCATTTTTGCAGTCTGCTGTCACTCCTGAAGAAGTGAATTTAGCACTGATAACATCATTCTTTTTCCAATTGTTTTGGCTAACCCAGAGACAAAAGCTATCCAGAACTTTAGAATCTGAGTCTGTCCCAACATCACCAGCTCACCCCTGCCCTGCTGTACAGTGCTTTGTTGCCTTCTGGCCAACACAAGGGTGGATTTCTAAATTTTGAAAGCTTCATTCTAGTGTTTAAGCTGGTTTCAAATACAGTAATTATATCCAAACAAAGGCAGAGGGAGAACAAGCTAAATGGAGTCACCTGCTCAGTGAGCAAGATGGAAATGTTACTGTATTTCTTGTTGGTTTCAGAGCCCAGAGATGCCAGACGTAGTAAAAAGAGAAGCAGTGCTGCCTCCCACATCAGGAACTCCCAGTTGTAAGCTGCATTTAGGAAGGTTTTGTGGCCCTTAAGAACCTGTATTGGGGGGGAAAAAAAAGCACCAATGTCAATAGCAAGTTGCCTGTTCTTGGGAGAAGTGCACAAGCACTGCCCTTGCTCCTCTGCCCAGCCCTCTGTGCTCTCCAGCACTGGCAGTTCCTCCACAAAGTGTAAATCATTCCTGTAATGAGGTCACAGTAAAAGGTCTTGTTTCTAACCTGGCTTTAGCTTGGAATTGATTTTTTCTGTCTGCTCAGAAAAGGAAAATTGTTCTTTCTCTTCCCTCCCTCTGACCAAATAACAGGGAATAAAGTGCCTTTCCTTGTCCCACTGGCAGCCTCAGACCCACCCCCCCAGCCAGAGGGAGCTGCTCCTGCCTTTCCCAGTATGGACTCACTGGGACTAACACAGCAGGACTGGGATTGTCATTCCTTCCTCTGGAAACCTGTGGCTTACAAAAACAGTCACAGCAGTGAGAGTATCTACGAACCATCAACCTCACTGCTACCAGAGCTGCATCCTCACATCAGGAACCTGCCTGAACACTGACCAAGAAATGGCTCCAGCATCAGCACTGCTGCCTGCAACAGCTTTAGGGAAGGTTAGAAGGTGTAACTAATAGTTCTTGAGCTGCTTTTCCACACAGTGGTTACAAAGGATGCTGCAATCAGCCCTCTGGAATAAAATGTCCTGTGAACACTTGAGGTCCTTGGGCAGAGTCTCCTCTCCTTTGTGCCCAAATGCCCATGTCCTGAAGTTTTCCTGATGATTATAAAACCCAAGATTTTCCCATGCAAGCAGAGAATGAATCTCTACTTCCAACTAAAGATTACAAAGCTTTTAAAAAATGCAACATTCTCTACAGTACTTTGGGGTCAAACAGCTCCAGGTCAAAAGCTCTTTGTATTCTGGGGAAAGAAAAGCCTCCAGCACTTGGAGAGATCTTCCCCTATTTTAAAAACCAGAGAGGTTAAAATCTCACCTGAGCACAGCATATAAAAGCAATTGAAAGAGCCAGCAGAAAGACTGAGGACACAACAACATCCACAGACCTCTGGGGGCCTCGTCTCTGTGGAAACAAGGACACGGGGTCAGGGCTGAGGTTGGGATGTGGAGCTGTGAAGCCAAAACTCACCACAAAGAGCTGTAACTGTTACACCCTCTGTAATCACCAAACCCTGGATCAGAACTCACCTTCAGATAGGAGCGAAGGGATAACCAGATCTTGATGTTCTCCACCTTCTTGAGCCTGAAGTGAGGAATTTCGTATTTCCTGGCTTTCCGAGCAGAGGTGATGTGACTGAAAAGCTTGGCAAACAAAAACCTCTGCAGTTTAAAACAAAACACACACACACATAAATCAGTCTAAAACAAATCAGATTGACTGGGATTGTTAGGGGTACCTGGCAGAAAGGGTGACTGGGGAAGCCCCACATGAGACCTGGGTGCTCGACCTCTCTGGGAAATGGCAGCAGCTGTTTTTATAGAATTCCAGAGTGGTTTGGGTTGGAAGGGACCTTAAAGCTCATCCACAACCCCCTGCCATGGGCAAGGACACCTTCTACTAGACCAGGTTGCTCCAAGCCCTGTCCAACCTGGCCTTGGAGACTTCCAGGGATGGGGCAGCCACAGCTTCTCTGGGCACAGAGAGGGGACAGGGTGAGACCTTGGGGACAGGTGAGAGGGGGGTACAGGGGTCAGATTACACACTGACAGGTATAATCTGTGACTGATCAATAGGAGCCTTCCCAGACTCCCCTCCCTGACCTTGGTTCCCTCACCAGCTCTGCCCCCTCAGCTGGCTGAGACCTGCTTGTCTTTGCAGGAGCAGGGGGGGTTTGATCCCCGCCCCAGGCTCAGGGAAGGCACCAGGACCTTCAAACCCACCTGTTTGTAGGTTCTCTCAGCAACACACATCATGAAGAAAAACATCCAGGTTAAGCAGAGCCTTTCCAGGAAGTTGATGGCAGACAGGACAATGACAGGGGCGCTGGCAGGGGCTCCACAGAAGATGTACAAGAGCTCCTTGAGAGAAATGGAGCAGAGCTGCTCCAGGTTATCCAAGCGGAAGAGCCTGTAGAGGAAGGGCAGGAACGCCAATCCGATGGTGATGATGTTTCCCAGCATTTGATACCCCACTCCTTGCTGGTAGGCATTCACCTGGCAAGCAGGAACAAAAATGGGATGATTACCTGGGTTTTGCATCAAGGAAAAGGCCTGTTTTTGTGGATGGTGGGGGGGGGGGGTGGGACAGCAGCCACTCAGCCAAGCAGTCAGTTCCCCTTCCCTTCCCAAGACAGAGCCTAAAATAGTCCCACCCATTTCAGTCCAAAGCCAACAGCAACCAGCCAATAAATAATCAAACCCCCACCCTCAGCACACTGCAGAGAAAACCAGCAATCATCAGCTGATTAGTCTTCAACAGACCTCAAAAACTGGGGTTTAGGGAAATTGTAGGAACAACTGTCTTTGCAGCTGGGGAGGGCCCAGTTTTGTACAGCACCTGATACTTGCACGTGTAACCACTTCCAGGGGCTTTGGTGGCTGATTTCTGAAGTGTGAGGGAGAGGCTGCAGTGCCACACCCCGCCTTACCCTGCTCATGATAATCCCACTGATCTCCAGCACGGACATGTCCACCTTCTTGCAGTCGTTCCCTTCCCAGATCAGAGCACTCACTTTGGCAGATGCTGGGCTGGTGTTCTGCAGCCAGAACAAATGGTTCTATAAAAGAGAGAGAAATGCAAAAGGTGGGTCTTCTCCTTCTGTCCTGCTAGTAAATAATGCTTTTTCCTGAATTAGATTGAGGGGGGATTCCAAATTTGGGGGATACCTGAGGGATAAATCATTGTCTTGGGCTGACAGGCTTTGTGTGTTGAGTCTGTTAAAGATATTTATACCTGCTTCACCCTCACTCTAATAGTATCTTAAAACTTCCAAACCAAGGGGAAATTTTTCGTTATTTATATTTGGAAAACAATAAATAAGAGCAATTCAGAAGACAAAAAGTCCTCATGAAAAGAAAGGACCTGTCAGCCAAAAACTCACCAAGAAACTCACCTAGGAAAAAAAGAAGGAAACAATGAAATACTTTGCTTGGGATGAGATAATACCAGTGGGGAGGAGGGAGTGAATCATGACACTGTTTAGATCATTACAGACTTCCATGTGATTCTGGTTGACAGAATGGGTTGCTCAGGGAGGGAAAGGGGAAAGTATTCTCAGCTGCTGGCTGCACGTGAACCAACCTGCTGGAACACGTCCTCCTTGGGGTCCCTGCGGGGGTCCCTGGCGGCGTCCTCGCTGTCGCTGGTGCAGGAGGAGCGGCACTCAGGGCCGTGCAGGAGGTCATCCCACAGCATGTCCTCGGTCTCCGAGTCCTGCCGGGTGCTCTCCGAGTCCCGCCGGCTCACGCTGCAGCTCCGGGACCCCACGCCAAGGCAGGGCCTCGAGTCCTTCAGAGAGCAGCAAAATCTACATGGCACAGCCCCACACTCGCTCTGTAAAACCTCCTCCTCCCCCCCAGGAATCAGCTTCCCGAGGGAATTAGAATTCCCGGGTTCACCCACCCGATGGAAGTGGTTTAAGACACTGTTATTCAGGGATAGTTTTGGGAAGAAGCATTTCTACATCAGAGCTCACACAGACCCCATTAGTTCCTCACCTTTCTTCTTTACAACTTTACAAAATAAAAGCTGACTTATTCCTTCAAATGTAAAACTTTTCTGCCTGTTCCACAATCTAAGATTTAATTTCTATTTTATATTAATTTATAGATTTTCATATTTATAATCTGATATTCACATATTTTATTTCTGTTTTATTTTCAGGTGGGGGAAGTGCTAGAGTCAAAAACAAAATAATGAAGTGACTGGGTATATATCACAGAATAAATTTATTCCTTCATTATAGGAAATGGACTCTGATCCTTGTGGATCTCTTTCAATTCAGAACATCCTATGATTTTAAAATCAAAATTTATTAGCTTAAAAGCTACAGCACAGCACTGCCTCCCAACCACAAGAGCACTTGCAGCAATTCCAACAGGAGCAAATAGAGGCAGCTCAGAGCTGCCAACAGGGTTATTTGTTTGATTGTGTTTGTTTAACAAAGCAGCACAGTTCTGAACAACGTTTACAAAGCTGCCAATGAACAGGGAGGGGGGGAAGTCACACCTTGTACCTGAAAATTCAGAAGCACAAACATTTAATAACTGTCTGTTCAGATGGAGGGGGGGTTGGGAGGAGATGAGCTCTAAGGTCCCTTCCAACCCAACCCATTCCATGATTCTGTGACAGGGAAGATGTCCCTGCACTGGCCAGGCCCGGGAAAGCTCCCTCTCTTGACTTTATGACCATACCTGAACATACAACGTAGATTCCAGTTCCGATTCCACGACACTGTCAGAGTCTCTGGCACCTTTCAGGGCTTGCTTGACCTGCCAAAACCAAAGGAAATCCAGCTCATTGTCCATAGCAAACTAAAGTGTGAGAAATGGCACAAATTCCAGGTGGGTACCTGCGAGACAGCCTGGTTCAGAGAAGGCAGAGGCCTCTTCTTCTTCTCCTCGTAGCTGTTGTCACTGGAGGCCCCTTCCATGCTCCGGCGTAACAGGACCCTTCGTGCCACAGCGTCCTCCTCGCTCGACAGCTCGTCCGAAATGCCATCCCTGTTGGTGCCTTCATCCTGGAAAGGCACAGCCAAAGCCAGGCTGAGGCACCACAGAGGGCCAGCCTGAGTCACACCAAAGGCTCAAAGCCACAGCCTTGCTCCCCTGGCACACACAGCCAGCCCTCACTCCTGCAAAGGCAGGGGATCCCCACAGAGCACACTCGGCATCGCAGAGACTTCAGAGATTTTGACTCGTCCCCCCTATCCCTGTCTTGCCCCAGATATACTGAGAGGGAATTTTGGGTGGATGGAGGTGGATTTGGGGTAAGGGCAGGAAGAGGAGGAGGCAGCAGCAGCTCTTGGCTGTGTCTTACATCTGTTCTCCTGTGCTTAAGGCTGCTGGTGGCTCAGAGACCTGGAATTCTGGGCTGTGTCCCTACACAGAGCTCTGCCCCTCTCCAGATGCCTTCACAGAGAGGAGTTGGTATGGCACAGTATGACAGAATTCTGCACAGATTCTATTCCAAGTTCCTTATGTGGGAGTTAACACACCACCAACCCAGAAGAGCCTCAAAAGTGACTTCCCAAATCTCTGTGTTTCAGAGATTTCAACAGAGGTCACAATCCTTTAACTCTTTCTCTCTCCCCAAGGGCTGTTTCAGTTTTTCCTGCCTCCCCTCTGCAAGGATATTGTGGGGAACTGTTTGCAAGGCCAATTATTTCACAGAACTGCCTTTGAAAATTCCCAATTTTTTTATTTTTAATCGTTATCAGCACTCTCCCTTAACTGAACATCTTGGGATCAGAAGTCTCAACAATTAAATGAACACAGACATTTCCAGGACTGTCTGTGTGTGATGTACTTGGCCAAGCAACCTGGTCTAGTGGAAGGGGTCCCTGCCCAGGGCAGGGGGTGGAATGAGATGAGCTTTAAGGTCCCTTCCAACCCAAACCAGTCTGGGATTCTATCCTATGATTCTATGAAAAGATGCTGACAGCAAAGCACCAGCACCATGTCAGCTGGTGAATGAGAGGCAGAAAGGGGGTTTAGGTCCCCTAAAGATTAGCAGAAGGAGGGAGAATCTTATGTTAGTTCAAACCACACAGTGAAGTACCAACACACTTCTGGGCACACAGAGAATACACTGAGACTGTGACTCCAGAGGGGTTTCCTCTGGCAGTACCTGCTGGCTCTTCTCCCCGTCAGAAAGTTTACTTTTCTCTTTGGAGTGCAGCAGCCTGTGCTCAGATCTGGCCTGCCTGGGTTTAATGCCATCACCCACAACACTCACACCACTCTCTGTCTCGGTCCCTTTCTCAGCTACCAACTTCACTCTTCTGTTCCTATGAGAGAAAACACAATAAAACACTTTTATGTCAGAGAAAAACCCTTTGGAGTAAAACATCTTTCACTTGCCATACAGGTGCAGCATCAAACAAGATACCTGAGGGATAAATCATTGTCTTGGCTGACAGGTTTTGTGTGCTGAGTCTGTTAAAGATATTTATACCTGCTTCACCCTCACTCTAATAGTATCTCAAAATTTCTAAACCAAGGGGAAACTTTTCATTATTTGTATTTTGAAAATAAATAAATAAATAAATAAATTCAGAAGACAAAAAGTCCTCATGAAGAGAAAGGACCTGTCAGCTGAAAACTCACCAAGAAACTCACCTAGGAAAAAAAAGAAGGAAACAATGAAATATTATCCCATACAATCTCTCCTCCTTTTCCTTGAGTTATTTTTAGAAAAGGAAGGTGGCAAAGTGAGTCCAAGCAAGTTAAACCAGGAAATGAGGTAAAACAGCAATATAATTTCAGCACAAAATCAAATAAGGTCACTTATCTGATAAATAAAAATAAGCTCCACCACGGTCTGCATCTCATCTAATGCTTGGTTTCACATGATCTAATAAGAACATTCTAAATATTCCTGAGGAGCCAGCCTCCTACAGGACAAGGAATGCTCTAATTCAGGATAAGCCAGCTGGCAGGCTGTGGGGCTGGCAGTGACAGCACACTCTGTGTGCTCATCTTCCAGGTGTCAAATTGTCCCCACAGACCCAGCAGGGATCACGTACCTCCTCTGGAAAAGCAGGCTGGATAAATTGGTAAGCACTGATGCAGAGCCAGACTGCTCTTCCTTGCTGCTTTTGTCAGAAGACCAACTGTTCCCATCCACGCCCACAGATTTGCGTAATTTCCTGATTTTTAAGAAAAGGACAATTAAATTTGTACAACACACATGACTTTCTGGTGTTTCTTAAAATATCTGAATGAGATTTGAACAGCTTTTTAGGTGCTATTTTTCTTAAGTCATGCAGACTAAAGAAACAAACAAGTTTTATTTGGATTAAGCAAATTTTATAATTTAATTTAATTATTAATTTATCTAATTTTGCTTTAATTTCATAATAATTTCTAGATAATAATTTATAATATAATAATTTGTGCTTGCTAATTTATAGTAATAATTTACAAATTTATAAATATATTTACACTTTATTATCATATTCTAATCATAATGATTATTAATATTATAATATAGATAATGTAATACATTGCTTTGTTTATTAATATATTAATACTATATTAATTTGGTAATATAGTAATATATTATATCTTATATAGTTCTAATTGATATAATTAATAGAATTATAATATTTCTAATTTATACTTAACATTGATATATTAAAATTGCAATTAATACATTATTTGTAATTTATAATAATTTATAGTTAATTTTATAATAATTTTCTAATAACTTTGTAATTCTAATTTATAATCATTTATTATTAATTTTATAATCATTTATTATTAATTTTACAATAATTTTCTAATGTTTTTATAATTTTAATTTAACTTTAATTTTATACTAATTTTATTAATACTTCTATAACCACTTTATCATTAATTTATTTAATTAAATTTTATTATTTAATATAAGGTTTTTTGGGATTAACAGAATATACCCCCAGGACATCACCAGGAAAGGTTCAACAGGCAAAACGTGGGGAAAACCTTTGCTGCAGCAATCCAGAGGAGCCAAAACTCAACCCACCTGCCCCCTGCTGTCCCCTGGCTGCGGTGCCACCCCCGGTCCCTCACCTGCGGCGCCGGCTCAGCCCGTTGCTCCCGGCAGGTCTGTTCACCTGCGTGGACACGATCTGGCAGTGAACCGTCCCCAGCAGCAGCATCAGGCACAGCGGGCCCATCACCTCGCTGGCACTCCCCGCGGGCACCAGGAGGTAGAGCAGCACCGCCACCACTGGGGAGGAGCAAACGGCCCCGGTCAGAGGAGCTTCGAGATCCCCTCCGACCCAAAGCAGCCTGGGATTCTACTCCAGGAAAAGCTGCTGACAGCAAAGCACCAGCACCGTGAGGCAGAAAGGGGTTTTAGGTTCCCCTAATGCAGGTAAAGATGAGCACCCTGTATTAGATCAAACCATACACCTGTGACCCAGCACGACCCAGTTCTTCTGTCTTAACTATTTACTTTTACCCTGCTTCATTTTGTAATTATTATTTAATTTCTGCAAATGCTGGTGCCACACGTCTTGAAATGTACATTAAGTAGGTTCCAGATATGATCCTTATGTTTTAACTTATTGACTACAAAATCCCTAAGGTTGAAAAAGCCCTTGGAGACCAGAGACCAACTGTTCCCACAGCACTGCCAGGTCCACCCCTACCCCATGTCCCCAGTCCACACATTTTTTGGCATCACTTTCCTTGCAGAACAAGGATTATGGCATGGCCTGCTCCCACCCTCACCCTGCATAACATAGAGCACCAGGAGCCACGTAAAAATCCTCTGGGAAGTGACTTGTATCCACCACTGACTGAACAAGGGGAAAAACACAACTCTCACAATCCCCTTCCGCGTTAGCGACGTCCAGGGAATTTCAGGCTTGGCTTTGGCAAAGGTAGAGCCTGGAATTAAAGGGAAAACAATCCACCATTAATTGTGAATCACAAGAGTCCCCTCACTGATGAGTTCCCCTTTGGGCAGCCCAGTTTCAGGCACCTGCCTGAGCTCCAGAGCCCCAACAGGCACAGCTAAAGCAGCCTCTTGTCTGATCTCAGGGCACTGGCTCTGCCCCTTCCCTGCCCACCCAAACCTGCTCCCACCACCACCCACTTCTGCTGAACGCCCCCTGAACTCCTCCTGTCTCTGCTCTCAGGATTTCAACACCCCTTTTGCCCCAGGGCTCACAGGCAGGGGCACCCCTGGAAGCACAGGCAGGTTCTGCTTCCCCCGCCCTGCCCCGAGCCCCAGGATCAAGAGACCATCCCTGCTGTCAGCCTGGGAGGGGCTGAGGGGGAGCCTCAGAGCCTTAGTTTATAGAATCTCACAGCTTATTTCACACA